ATTGTTATGAATAAAGTACAAATTTATCAGAGAGATTTAAGGGATAATCTGAATGCTGCTCTTTTGTTAAACAAAAATATTTCTTGAACAAAGAGAAATCCTTATTCTGATGGTTTAGAAGTTCTAATTCGAAGTCAGAATATTGAGTGTTCTTGATGGAATATTATTCAGGTTTTAGACTAGTTTATAGGAGGAATAATCCAGGTGGGCAGCCATGTTGGTCTTAAGAAGTAAAACAAATTCTGAGTCAAGTGGCACCTTTAAGCCCAACAAAGGTTTATTCAAGGTATGAGCTTTTGTGTGCATCCACACTTTGTAAAATACATTGGAAAGGAGGGTAACAATTCAAACTTATAGACAGGCTGAACAGCAAATTAGCATGTAACATGATGAAGATTGAACTGTTACTTTCCACTCCAATGTACTTGAAAAACTGTGCATGCACACAAAAGCTCATACATTGAATAAACCTCTGTTGGTCTTAAAGGTGCCACTTGACTCAAAATTTGTTATAGGAGGAATAACATTTATTACCTAGTTGATTTTTGTCTTAATTCTTAATAAATGAATTAGAAAAATGATTTCCTTAATGGTACAATGAACAGGACCTACTTACATTTTTCTACTGTATTTAGAGATGGCTAAAAAACCTCTAGGAAATAAATAAAATGCATGGTTAAAGAACTCTACTTTTCTCACAAAACGCGCTGATTCATATTACTTTTCTTCCCTAAAACGAAGAACAGAAAATACTAATATCCTCCAAGAATATATTTCAAGTATTCAGAATGTAAATCACTGGAGATCTTACTAGAAATGTTGGTAGCTTTATTATTTTTGTTACACCTACAGACTAACAGAAAAGAAAAGGGGAGGGAAAAAGGTACCCCAGGATAAAAAGACAAGAAAAATTAAACCCACACTATGACTAAAACCCCAAGAGGGAAGGTCCTTAACAGTTAGAATTCAGTTAGTATTCAAACTTATAACTTTCCGTTTTAAATCAATGAATTAAAGAATTAGTCAGTCCCAGTTAGTATTCCACCAGCTTCTCGTGTGTGCATCGAGTCTCTTTCATCATCTTCATCATTTGCGAGTCTTTATTTGTAAAGGGTTATTTTGGTCCTCTATGCCGCAAGTCATACGTCTCTCTGGCCGAAGCAGCTCCCGCTGCACCTTGGTCTTCATCCATCTCTTCTTCAATGCCTGCTCCGCCCTCTCCATTCTGTTGCTCCTCTTCCTTCGATCCGAAGTGCCATTTCAACCATTCTTCCGCTTTCAGAACCGAGTCAATTTTTTCCCTTTTATCCCCATATTTGAACACAAACCCTTCCGGAAGGTTCCAGGAATACGAGATTTGATTGACCTGCAGGACTGAAATCAGGTCCTTGTACGCTTTCCTTTTCTGGCGAACCTTAAACGGAGTGTCCTTTAGGACCCTGATACCTGCATTTCCCAGCTGCAGGGGACTAGCCGCTGTTGCTTTAAGGATATCATCCCTCATATGTCTTCTGAGAAACTTGACAACAATTTGACCCGGCAGGTTATTCCGCTTAATATATTTTGAGTATGATCGATAAATCACCTTTATTTCTGCTTCCACTTCTGCCGTTGACACCCCCACCGCCGGGGCAATGAGCTCTGCCATCATTGCTTTCAAGTTTTCTCCTTGCGCCTCGGCTATCCCCTGGAACCTTAGTGTCTTGTTTGCTTTCTCCATTTGTAAGTTCAACAATCTTCTTTCCTGAAAGTCTTGTCTTTGTTCCAACAGACCAATCTTCTTTTTG